GGGGCGGGGGGGGGGTGCGCAGCCTACTTTGTACTCCATGAAAAAGTACTAGATTTTGAGAACCAGCCTGAGTGAGCTTTGTATATTTGTGTGCATATCTATCAGCACATGCACACACATTCACATACGAATGCATGCATGTAAGTCATTCAGGCCCCTTCTGGAACAGCAAGATTGAGTGTGTGAAAACTGCCTCCAGCCTCCAGCTTCGGTTCTAATCTACCAGTCATTCAGGAGACACAAGGCAGGGCCTTAGGACTGCCCCAGAAGAATTTTAGGTATGAACAATGAACTCACTCACTCTTTCCCCCTCACCGTCCTGAAAAACTGAGGGAGAAAGAAAAAAGCAACAGGCGCGCAGGCCTGCTTCACTTTTGAAAAGAGCCTCAGCTCTGGCAAGCCCTGGTTTTCCATCGGATAAGCGCCCTCCCCCAGGGTCCTGGCCAGTCAAAGCTGCTCTCCACAGGGGCCTTCTCACCACCTTCGTGTTTTCTCAAGCACTTGTTCAAAAACACATTTAAGTGGAATGTTTTCGTTTCTGCAGATTGCATTAATTATGGGTTCGCTAGCGCGGCGGGCGCACAAGGGCTGCCCGCTGGGATCTGCAGACACCGGCCTTGGCCGAGTGGCCGCGGTTGGTTTGGCCTGCGGTGGACGCGCTCAGCCCCCATCCACACAGCTTGGCTTCTGGCACCTCGCGCCTCGGCGTGGCGGAGACTGCAGCTGAGGGAGACAAACTTAGAGTGGTCAACCGCGGTGCCACACGCGCTCGGGAGCGCGCCCTGGAGCGCGCAGCATCCTGCCACCGAGCAGAGAGCCCAGCGGGCCACCCGCGCTCCTCCGCACCGCATCCGCTCCAGATCGCTCCTCCGCTATCAACAAAAGAGAGATGGTCTTGATTTCAGTGTCATCTGCGTCTTTCGCGGTTCAGTTAAGGAAGAGGGAATCTCTGCAAGGCTCAGCCACAAGCGGGGCCCATCGGCTGCGACCCCTTCACCCGACAAGGGGCCACTGGGTCCCTGTGGCGCCCTAGCTGGGAAGCGCCGCTCCTTAACCCCAGGTTGGGTCCGCGTGGGGCTAGGAGGGCGCCCGGTCCCCCAGGGTCCGCCCTGGGACAGTCGCGAGGCATCAATACCTCTGGCCTCCTGGATTCTACGTCGTCCCCTCCCGTCCCAAGTGGGGGACGCGGGACATCCCCGAGTGCCAGTTCCCACCTATCGCTGGCTGCTGGGACCCGGTAGCCCTTCGCAGCCAAGGGCTCATCGTCGGCCGGGAACTCGCATGCCGCGGGACCCTCCCGGTCCCACCTGCTGGAACCCCGCAGGCCACCTGCTCCGGGCCACGTCCCGGAGGGTGGCGTGGCGTCTGGGCCGGGGAGGACCGGGGACCGCCGGGTCGCCGCGGGGGACTTACGGTGAGCGCCGAGAACTTCTGCGCGGGCGCGGGCGGCAGGAGCGCGGCGAGCAGCGGCAGCCAGAACAGCTGCGGGAGCATGGTGACGGGCGGGGAGGCCGGGCGGCGCGCTGCGCCCTGGCACGCGGGGGACTGGGCTGCGCCGGCCGGGCTGCGGGTGGGGAGCCGCTCGGCCGTCCTGCGCCACCGCAGAGGAGGGCGCGACCAGCCGCGCCCAGGCCCGAGCGCCGCTCCGCGTCCTCGGCCGCTGCCCCGCTGCTGTCAAATACCCGAGCTTCCCGGATCCTCCCCTTCGCCCTCCCCGCCCTCGCGCCGGCCCGCTCTCCTCCCTCTGCCCCACCTCCAGCTGCCGCGCCCTCCCGCTCGGGGCCGCCAGGCGCGCGGGGCTGCGGAGATGGCCAGGGCCACCAGGGCCCGCCGGCGCCCGCGGTGCTGGTCGCACGCCTCCTGCCGTGCTCGCACGGGCACACACATAACATACATACATGCGTGCACACGCACATGCGTTCCCCGGGAGGTGCTCTGCGCCCCGCCCTCCTGCCCCAGGGTGCAGTCTGTCCTAGCCTTGGCTGGTCCCCACTGCACCCTGTGGAACCTCCTGACACCTAGCACCGACCGGAATACAGCCCTCCTTCCGTGGGCTGCCGGGTCACTTGCTCTCCGGTGGGATCACTAAGGGAGCCGTCAAGTCCTGCATCTTTCCACAGGTTAATCCTGGGGAATGGGGTTGGGGTCTGGCACCCAGATCTGAGAGGGGTGTGACTTTCTTATTCTGGGCAAGTTTAGGGGCATGTGGCCATGCAAGCAGATGGAGAGACTCTGAAACCAGCCTGAAGCAGCTCAGGTGAACTTCAGCAAGCCAGGTTGTGCAAGCTGTTCACTGCCAAGGAAGCCAAGGAGATTTTTGCACACCCTGGTCTGCAAAACGACAGCATTGTTGAAATAGTTTAGCCTTGGCTGGTAGCTTCAGAGGAAAAGGCCCCAACTCTGCCTCACACAGAAAGCGCACAGGGAAGACAGCCCAGAACAATGATCAGTTGGCTTGTCAGGGGCTCTCTGGAAGAGACAAAACAGAAGATCCACCTCTGACTTTTTTCTGGTGTCAGTGCTGCTGCCTGTTGAGGCCTATGAGGCAGTGGGCTTCATGGGTGACCGGAGGGGGGGACTGCACTGTCCCAGCCTGGCAGCTGGCAGCGAGGGAGATGAGGGCCCTGGGGCTGTGCAAGGATGGTGTTGTAGAAGGAGATTCTCCTTAGCCAAAAACGCCACCATCTTCAACAGATAAGTTGTGCCTGCTTCACAAGGGGCCATCAGGAGCTAGCCTGTGGGCCGCTGAGCTTCCCTCAGAGAAGGAGAGGGTGAGAAGGGTCCCTGGAGCCCTTAGGCCTCCCAAGCCTTTGTGTTCAATTCTTCCCTAACTGCACTTGGTCTCCAGGTCTCAGGAGGTGTACAGACTGGGGAAGGGTAACTGAAGGGGGCTCTGGCTACGCCCTTCATCCAAAGTCCGAGAGACCATCCAGCATAGCTGCTGTGGGTCACTCATGCTCTGTAAGACCAATGCACTCAAGTGTTTCTCCAGGGGGAGCTTGGGTAGAATTGAACTTTGGTTTGTCAGTGGGGCTGTATGAGGAGGGGTAGACATTGTTTACATCTCCACAAAAAGGAATTCTCACACAACTGGAGAGAAGGGGAGACTTCCAGAGCCTGAGCTGCTAGGAGACCCTTTCAAACTCTAGTCTATAAACCATTCAACACACTGTTCCTGCTCTGTCACTTGGGTCCAGAGACAAGCTTAAATATGTAAGCAAACAACAAAAATCCAAGTCAAAACGGAATAAATAGATGCTTCGTACTAACAGTCTGAAGAAAGTGTGTGTTCAAACTGCCATACCGCCTCCAAAAAGCACTTGCGCCCAAACATTTCCTTTCACTCTTTATTTAGAGCACTGCAAATTGTTAGCTGAAATACTACACACTGCACCTTTGTCTGGGACACAGAGACTAAGAACAACCCATTTTCACCCTCTTCCATTCTCTGTGCCCAGAAGTAGTGGCTTTCATTTGCTCCCACTTTACAGACTAGAAACAAAGGAAAGAGGCCATGTGTCCTAGCCAGATTGCCTCAGCCACAAAACCAGGGGCCGAATCCAGATGTCCTAACTTGCAACTCTGGCAAGTTTACTCATATCCTCTGGAGATAGAAATGGCAGAAGAAAACTTGGCTTTCCCCCACCCTGGATCCTAGAATCTCACTACATCTTTCATGCATCCTCCGGGACTTCAGAGAGATCAGCGTAACATGCTTTTCCAAGACGCTGACAGATGAAGCGGATTGAAGCCTTCAGAGACCTTTAACATTTGGAGGCGCTCACATGGACTGAAGGCCAAGTTTTATTTTCTTTAAGAACCTAGAAGTGGGGTTTGGAGAGATAACCAGTTCCTTTTGTGTGGAGAAAACAGAACATTTATTAAAACCACTAAGAAATGGTTCAGTGTGTCAATCACATCCTTCAAAGTTAAGAGGCAAGTAATCAGCTCACACTTCCCAGATATCTGTACAGGACAGAAAAATATCCCTTATCATGGAAATGGGCCTTCATGATAAGTCAGCAAAGGCTGGCCTTTGGGTGTGGCCTGTGAATCCCAAATTTACATTTCTGACCCTGGTGAAAGTTGGGCACAAAGTAGGACACAAGAATCAATCCTGGGACCCTAACCATCACATTTCTCCACAGACCTTCTTTGGCCACTGGCACCGGCTTGCTTTTCTTATTTGACTTTGCTTAAACTGGGAAGTAGTTTTACTCTTGTTAAAGGCATTACACACCTTAATGATCATTTCTGGCTTACTTGTGTTTGACCAGAAAAAAAAAAACTGTCATTTTCCCACCTCAGTATACAAAACACAAATGTAGTCAAATGTCTTTTTCTTATTTATGACTTCCAAGGTTTACCTCAGCTGTCCTGAGTGTTCACTGAGGCTGAGTTGGAGCAAGAGCACTGACCACTGTGCCTATGATGCATGTCACCAGTCATGCATGGTGGCTGACCATCAGCCGCTTGTTTCAATATTTTCTCCAAATTTGACTTTATCCTGAGAGGAGAATCTTCACCCTGGATTCCCTCATGTACATTCTGTGTAAATGTTCTTCTAGGCTGTCTCTCCTGTTGTCTGGGATTTCTAAAGTTTCTTGGGCTGTCCCTTCAGTGGCCTATCTTTTCCTTTAATGGGTTCTTTCAGTCCCTGATAGCCTATATCCATCCTGGGCTTTCTAGAACCTGCCTCCCAGAGTATGTGAACAGAATTAGCATGGTTTGATGAATCTGGAAAAGGGGTCCTGGTTGGGCCAGCCGTCACTGTGCTGTAGGACATGGCATACAGTTTGCCAAGCTGAAGTGAGCACATGCTGTTGCTTCGGGAGATAATGGATCTAGCTCCTGGCTGGAGTTCATCTGCCACTCGAGTTTCCTGTATCTACTGAATAAAATTTGGATTTGTCCTTGTGTTGTCATGTAAACAAGTCTTTTCCTCCTTCACATGACATATTTCATGTCAACACTTCCCAGCACTTTTATGGAAATAATTCATGACCAATTGGAATGTGCTGGCTTTTGTGTGCAAATTAGCTAAGTCATTCCCACAGAACTCTGAAAAGTAGCATTCTGCAGGCAGCAATAATGAACCCAGGAGGTCACAGTATTTTCCCCATCCACAAGGCTGGCAGGGTGGGAGCAGAGGCTAACTTGACTTCATCTCAGCGATGTCTTCCTCTGCTCAGCATCTCTGACTCATGAGGAGCCTGGGGTTCAGGCCACAGCCCATCATGGCCTTGAGATACCTAGTTCTTAAGCTTTTGAAATCATAAACTCCTTTGAGGCATGATGAAAACTATGGGCCTTTTCCTCCCAGGAGAATGTGCGTCGTGTGTGCACAGGCGCGCGCTCACAGACTCGTCTTTTGTTTATTCAGGATCTGCCATCGAACCAATGAAGAGCACTTTGCAGTTGTTTCTGATTTATCGATGACACTTCAACCGAGCTCGGTGTTTCACAACTTAAAGTTTTCAAAGAAAGCTCTGTCTCGCAAAGCCATGGAAGCACAGTGTTCCTGGGGAGGTCAGTCCCTCCAGCACTGCTGACTGATGGCTATGCAAACAGAGCAGACACAGTCAGGGGAAAGTGGATGGGGGATTTATTCAACCTAAATAGAGGATCTTATGAAAGGTTGAGACCCCCCATGAGGGCTGCTACACCCTCAAGCTCACCGAAAGCTCCTTATCAGAAGAGCTGGAAGCCAGGTCTGCCTTTCTGCTCCTGGAACAGCCTTTGCCAGAGTGAGACACTCCCAGAAAACATCAGTCAAAGCTAATAAAATCCACAGAGACCCAGACCTAGCATCGTGCAGGTGTGCTCACAAAAACAACTGAGTGAAGCCAGCCGCCTCCAAACTCAAACTCACCTGGCCTAGAGCACCTCAGCACAGCCCTCCTGTCAAGCAGGCCAAGGCCACCTCAGGATCAGCCCTCTGTGTGAACTAGCCTAGACATCTCAGGATCAGCCCTCCTTGCCTGTCCAGGACCAACCATCCCTGTCAGTCCAGCCCAGGCTCCCTCAGGACTGACCTTCCATGGCCTAGAACACCTCAGAACTGGCCCTTTTGCTAACCCACCTCAGTCCTTTCTTCCTGGGAGACACAACTTCAGGGAAGAAAAAAGAAACATTTTAAAACGCTGAAATGCAGCTTGCCAGGAATCCTCTGGGGCAGTGTGGACCACACAGACAGACTTTATATGGACAGAAAGCCGTGTAAGAAGATACTCTAATAAAGAGAGCTCTCCATTTAACCTTCAGTGACTTCCCTTCTCCCAGCTCTTCCCTGACCCAGCATGCAGTGGGTGAATTCCACTCACCCTCCACACCCACCTCCTCCCCTGCTCTGAGTATTAAGATGTGGTTCACAGAGAGAAAGATCTTTATGTCTTTCCGTCAGACAGCTCATGCCCAAGCTGCCCGGCGGTGGGAGCTCCGGTGTGAGAACTGCCCCACCATGTGCCCTGTACTCCGCGTCTCGTCTCCCATCAACTGGCTCTACTTTGCCTTTGGCTCTCCTGCTGCCTCCAGCCCAGGAAGCCAAGTTTGGTCCTGACTTGTTTTGCTTCCAACCTCTATAATACTTTTCATCTCTAGAAAATGATTCCCAAAGAAGAGATTCAGTTACATGATTTGGAATTGTGTGTACACGCTCAGG